GCGAGCCGAGTCGTGTCCGTAGCAATTTAACGTTTAGAGACCGAAAGTCGAAGAAACTCGCAAATGGTTCTTTGGATATTTCGCGTTTGCTTTGTGACATGCGGCTTCGCGTCGAATATACAAGGAGAAATCGTTCACAAAGGACGAGAACGCTTGCGTTGTCAGAGGAAATCGTGCTCTCAATTCTTGCATGCTGCTCGGGCGTCGCCTCGCATATTTCTCTCTCTTTCTCTCTCTCTATCTTTTATTTGCTTTTTTCTTTTTTTTTTCTCTTCCCTTTTTTCCCCCGTTCGTCCTCCCTTATTTTTCCCTTCACTTTTCGGCGCGCGGAGCGGTGGCGATGGATAGAAGTCGAAAAGAGTCGGTCGAACCGCGGAGGAGTCGCGGCTTTCAAAGCGCTCGAGGGAAGTCTTTCTGGTTGTAAAATAGCAAGGCGTACGTTCTCCGATCCGCCAGCCGTATTTTTTAACCGGTCGAGAAAGGCTGGCTCATTATGCGAACGGGATAGTCTCGGTATTCTTTCTTTTAGCGAGAAAAAGAAAGTATTAAGGTCTGTTCTTGTACTATCGTTCTATTCGATGTTGAAAGTATGTCGATATTTGAAATTCTTATAATTTATAACTGGAGTATAGCGGATTTTTATGCAAATTTCTGTCGCTGGGAATACAATTTAGGAAATACTTGGTGGAAAAATTGTCCCGCGCACCAAGTGCCGTAGAAATCACCAATGTTTTAGATATTTTATACATATTTATTTGTTTCGATTTATGTGTATTTTTCTGCAATCCCTACAAATGCGTAGAAAATTCACAGTTCATTTGTGAAAGAACTACGATAAATTTTAAGGGATTGTTGTAAATGGAAGACTTTGATATTCAAGATCACAGTAAGTTTGGTTATGTTGAAAAATTGCTCAGTATAAAGACATTTGAATTTGCAAAATCTTCAAGAATGAAGGACAACAAAAATCTCTTTAAAAATGAATAAACGTCTGAAAGAAACTCGGTGTTGTGAAAGTGAAGCATTACCCTTAAAAATGAGCGCAGGTTTTATTAACTTTTTAGTATTTTTTATTAGTATTATTATTTTTATTATTTATTTAGTATATTTAATATATTCAGTATATTTATTTAGTATTTTTTATTTAGTAGATTTATTAACTTTATACATGATTAACTTTTTCCCACCAACTTGTAACAATTGTACTAATATAAAATATTGACAATCGTGAATACTTCAGATTATTATAAAAATTGTTCAGTCTGGATTCATTTTAAGTCAGAAAGCAGTGAAAAAAATTGGGAAATAGATGATACATATAAATTGCTACATACAAAGTCATTCGAGTCTAATCAATTCGGGTCCAAATCGTTATCATCGTGACGTTACACTCCTCTCTATAACCTTTAATCAAAAATAGTTAAAAAAAAGAAGCTCTAGCAATATCGTTATCGATTCATCAACGAAATTCATCGTTGAAATGAAAGAGAAAAGAATCGGTAAGAAATAATCTAAAAAAAGGAACAGATAAATTCTTTTCCTCGAATAAATTCCTCTCCGCGCACGTCACTAAAACAACAGTTTTCAGAAGGACGTAGTTCTCGAAAGAATGCAGGCTCTCGTCGTGGATATATTGTCATAATTTTCGTCGTTCTTGTGAATTCGGAGCAAGAGACGGAGACATTGCCTGGTCAAAGTGGTTTTCATTTTTTCCGCGGAGTTCCACAGGGTCGGAGACCCCGGAGGATCGAGATTCAAAGAGCGCGGACTACTGGTTCTTTGCGAAAAGGGGAAGAACGGGAATCCTTTTCAGCTCCGTTTCCCTCTGTGCACGATGTTCGCGGACCGGAGGCTTAAAACCGAGGCTTCGATGGCTCGTGAAGATCTTGGTGCTTCGTTAAGACTTCAAAGCTTCGCCCGGCGCTGGCCATTGGTTTCGAGTTAGCAGATTTTCTCGGCGGTCGTCGCCTACGATACCAGACTCTGCCAGTTGATTGCGTCGCGGCCATTATTCTCCTCCCTCGGCGGCGCTTTTAATCCCGACGTGGGAAATTCTTCGTAACGGGGGAAGAAAAAAGCACGGAGGGGGGGGGGGGGAAATTCTTGGGAGGGGGGAAAAAAAAAAGAAGGGGGGGGGGGGGGGGAGATGAATGACAAATCGGACGTGATCTCGTGCCTGAGTCATTAAGAAAATGAAATTAGACGAGAAATGAGGGAATTTGACGGGCGATTAGAAATTTCTGTCTATTCGATTCGACGCTTGAGCAAGGATGTCTTTACTTTTGCACGTTCGAATCGGTATTTTCGTCGTGATAATTGATTGATTGGAAGAGTAAGTGGAATAAGCTGACAGAATCGGACGACTTCGCGATAGTAATTAATAATATAATGGAGAATAGTACGATATAAATGAAGATTTGTGAACGATAATTAATTAACAGAATAATCCATTGGTAAGGGAAACGCGAGTAGAACGAACAAGAAGAGTCAGACACTTGGATTGATATATTTTATGAAATAGCTGGCTGGTACGGGAAGAGTAAGTGGAATAAGCTTGAAACGTCAGACGACGAAGATTTAGAAATGGTAATTAATCATGTAATATAAATGGAGATTTAAGAATAATAATTAATTAGTAGAATCCATTCGTAGGGGAAACGTAAGTGGAATAAACCGAAAGAGTCAGACACTTGGATCGATATTTTTTGTAAAATATCTGACTGGTACAGGACGAATAACTAACTAAGGTAATAAGATTTGGGAACAGTAATTAATAACGTAATGGAGATTAGTAATCAATAACCCACTACGTTTGATAAACGTAAATAGAATAAATCAAGAATATCAGATATCAAAAATTACATTAAAAAGAGAAAATCATTGAGAACGTCTACACGGCATTTCAAATCTTGAAATCATGAGGACGCAAAAGGACTTCTCCTTAAATCTCTTCGTTAATTCTCTCGTTCGCCTTTGCTTTATCTTGTAACATACTATCTTACCTCAATAGTTTCGTATCGAGAAAATTTGAAACTCAGGGAAAACCTCAGGAAAAGTTATTTAACGAATGAATAAAAAAAATGCCGTATATTCTCCTCAGTGCAGACATGTTTGGCGTTGAGAAACTAGGAATTTCTCTTGAAACTTTTTTTCCAATTCCCGCGGCTTGAAACTCGAAAATTCTTGGTTATTTGAAAGATTGAAGAGAAAAGGAGTCCTTTAAAAATCCTCCGTTATTACGAAATCCTATTAGGAGAAGAGCTTGGCGAAAAAGGAAAAAGAAAAATCCTAGTTTAAAAACGTTTTAAAAAACACATTTCCCGGTACTCAAAAAAATTCATTTCAAGCCCTGTGTGCGTGGTGCTTGCGCAGGTTCTCCGGGAAATTAAAAAAATTCGACTGGAAAGAGCTTTTGGAGAACCTAAAAGCAGGAGAGGTCGTAAAAGGAATTCTAAAAAAACTAATTAAAAAATGCGGGCACCAAACACTGACAACAATGTAAATTCTGTAATACAGCGCGCAAAAGGAAAGTCAAAAGTAACTGCAATCAAGATGGAAGAAAAAAAAAACCGCAGAACGGGTGAGAAAAAACCTTTCGGAGAAAGGTGATCAAAGAAAGAAAAAAAAAAAAAAAAAAAAAAAAGGAGAGCCCTACGGTAACGCGAGTGTCCGTTCCTTAGTTTGAGTTCCCTAGCAGTAACAGTCTGTGTAACTGTAATAATAGAACTTAAATGGCCTTTTAAAGAAACCTAATAAAGTATACTAGCGAGGGAAAAGAAAGAAAGGAAAAAAAAAAGGGAGAAAGAAACAGGAGAGAAATTTTAATTCCTCGTGATATTGGAAAAAATTATACGCCGTTGTAATACCGAGGACAGAGAGAGAGAGAGAGAGAGAGAGAGAATCGCGGGTGGTTAAAAAAGAGTTTCAGAAGGGACAGAATTCGCGTAATTAATTCGATTCGCTGACCAGAAGTCGACGAGAGCTCGAGTTGAGAGCTCGCTGAAACACAGCGAGCGCAGCGCTCTCGGTATTTATTTCTCTTTCGTGGAATCACAACGAAAAGCGATACTCGTCGAGAGAGAGAGAGAGAGAGAGAGAGAGAGAGAGAGAGAGAGAGAGAGAGAGAGGAAGGATCCGACTCGTTTCCGCGGGCTTTTTAATATCCTTGCAGTAATTATTCCGCGGAAGCGCACAAGGAATTAAGCCGCGGACGCTCCGAGGTTAATTAAACCTTGCGCAACGCAGTATTATTGCACACGTACACGTCGCAGTTCCTCAAATTTGAGGAGTTTCGCGTCGTTGCACGTTCGCTCCGCCGCGGGAACAAAACCGGTTTTCTTGTTCTCTCGTTTCGTTTAAACATCGGATCTGCCTTCGAGAGCGTGCTTGCGTCTGCCGCATCGATTCTGGCCAAGATCCGAAATCTACGAGGAACGTGAATCTATCGTGTCGAGTGTACGAGAGTACAGTGAAGTTTTTGTAATTTTCAAAGTGGTACGTGTCGTGCGTGACCATCGTAGAAACAGATGATCTTGTTGTTCACGTTCTAACGAATCTAAAAATCTTGTGTAGTGACGCTGAACAGAAAATGATATCCCTTGCTTTTGGTAATTTTATTTGCATCAATTACAGCATTTGTACGAATGTAGGAAATATATATTTATACAGTGATGAAAATTACATTGTCAAGCTTTAGTTAATTTTTGTGTCATTCACAGAATAAAGTCATGTACACTCGCCGACGATACTGTATATTTAAATACATGTGTTTCACGTATCTGTAATAAACGCATTTATAAAAGCGTCGAATGACAAAGTCACGCTGCAATAATACTGATCGTCCGATCCATTATTTATTATTACAGCTCTTTATACCGAAGGACAAATAATTCCACTCGTTCAACTCTTTGTAGAGGCATTCGCGAAACAACTGGCCGAAGGAGTTGCAAAAGAAACTAACCACGTAATTGTTGTTTTCTGTTGCAGGTAAGCGTTGCATCATCCTCGCTCGATCTAATCTCAAGTAGCAACTACTGATCCAGTGTCGCTCGTGAGTACCTAAACTGTATAAATTGCCAGTGGATACAATAAAAATAGATTTTCAACGCGTTGTAAGATAAGAAGCAGGAGCATCGATCCGAAGGCTCCTCCTTCCAAAGCTTTTCTTAACTCTTTCTCAAGATCGAACCGCGTTTAATCGGCCATTACTCCGGTACCGACTGACTAAAGATTCACGGAGATCCCGCGAGAGAAAGAAACGGAGGAATTTCGAGAGGCTGGCGCGGTTTTCTCGATTCGAGGTTAATTAAGCCCGACAACTAAAAGGGGAAGAAAATCCTGCGAGCTCGCTCGAGGGATGAAACGAAAAGTGAAAGATGGTTCCGCCGCGATCCTCGAACGAATAATTAATAACCCTCTCTTCTGGGCTTCGTTCCAGAACGTACGCGGTTTCTCCAGTTTTTTTTTTTCTTTTCTTTTTTCCTCCCCTCTTCCACCCTCGAGTTTCTTCCGCGAGTTGGCGCGAGAGAAACTCTCCCTCGCGAAAGGATTTGCGAGAAAACCGGAGCTGATCGACGCCGCGTTGCAGCCGACGCGTTCCGCCGGTGTCTCTAATTGGCTGAACGGCGGAACTACCGGGACGTACGAGGATTCGGCGGCGGCCAAGAAAGTTTCCGCGAAGGTAAATGTTGCCGTGCGACGAGGCAAATATTGGCACATGATTTACGGATACAAATATTGGCGCTCGTTAGTGTCCGCGGCGGCACGAATTGTCGAATCTGGGATGGCTGGGAACGGATGTCAGGAAACGCCGCGCTTTCCACGTTCTTTTTTTTTTTTTTTTGTTCTCTTCGCTCTCGTCGCTTTGCAACAAAAATTTTCTTAATCCGATTCCATCGAGGCGAAGACAGCGAGTTTTCACGGGATTCGATATTTCGCTTTTTATTAGATATTTCTCTGTGGACAATAGCAGTAGAAATTTACTTAGAAAATGTGTTCACGTTTGATAAGATTGACAGTCCTTTTTGAATGAATTTATTACATTTATTTGTTATTCGTACTTATATTTTATGATATTTCATATTTCGTACAGTGTCCTTCGTAGAATGATTACGTTTGATATGTTGCAATCGAAATCTATGTATTGTCCTGAAATAATTCTGTACAATCTTCCGTACAAAATAAAGGAACCATTAAAGGGTCCAAGAAATTGTAGATTTTGTAATTTCTACATTCGTTCCTGTTCTCGTTCCTCTTATTTTTACACGTTTGAACTTAATTCTTTTTTTCCTTTGTTATCTTACAAAACTCGACAATTCACCGACGCATGAAATTCAATTTGCCAATCCTTTAATAGTGACAAGTATCGAATCGAAAGAAACTTCGCTTCAACGAAATGTCGCGGCAGTTTCGATTTTGAACTTTTTGAGACGGCAGAAAACACGTCTCGAAACTCCTTCCCCCAGCCGAAGATTTCCTTGGCACGGAATTAAGAGGGGCTTACGCGTTTTACCGTTCGGAAACAGACCGCGAAGCGACGAGGCGTGTAAAGCGAAGTCTCGAGCGCGCAGGCTAAATCATACTAAGCCTTGTTTATGCAGCTGCAAATTATGTTATTGCTCGAGGCGGCAAGGCACGAGAGCAGTGCACACAGTTAACGGCACTCCGATATTAATGATTAATTGGTACCCGTGCCAATGTGGCCGTGTTGGCGCGAGACTCGCCTCTCGTAAATTCGCGATATTCAGCCTCGATCGCGATATTAACTTTTACTCGTGCACGTAACCCTCTGCGAGCGATTAATCCAACTGTGTTTCATCTTGCTCGCTCTTCTTTCTCCGCGGTGAAATTAACCTGTGCCCATGATCACGGTTCACGTGAAGCAGAGTGCAGGTTTTCGAGCGAGAAGACTGATTTAAGAGACGCTTGAAACATTCAAAGAAGTCTGTTACTATAAAGTATTAACCCTCTGTGGACCAGCGAGTGTGAAAATTGGCGAATAATTCCTGGAGTTTAAGGTCTCTTTCATTTGTTTCTCAACGTTGCCACAATGTATTTATTTTGGTTTTCTGTTCTGTTGGATAAGATAGACATTTTTATATTGTAATTTTTACAATATAAAAGGTTGAGTGAAAATGATGAAACATTTCGTACATTAAATAAATTCTTTATCGTTTTAAAATACAATTTATTTTTAAATAACAAGTACAACTACATTTAATGACATAACAAGTTGTATTTGTTATATTATCACTCATTTCTGTTTTATATAGTTCCTGAAGATTTCTGGATGCATATGATCCAAATTCTTACATAAGAGATGTTCAGAAACTACATCGACTAATTCCATGAATTAAAAATAACGTTACAAATATTGCTCTTTGAATTTATCTTGAAACATGCAATTTATATCACTTTTTTTTTTTTTGGTAAATTCACTTCTTGACGTCAAGAATTCTCTTGAAGAATCGAGCGTATTACGTGAATGAAACAATTGACAAAAAGTGAGATTAATCGATTTGGCCTGTGACAAAATAATGGAAATACCTTGTTCATTGTTAGCAAGTGTTATCATGTAGATAACACTTGTCCCGGGCGAATGCAATTTACCACGCTACACACTAACGTTATTTCCTTCTTCTTTCTTTCTTCGTTCTCGCTCCGCGGGAGCAATATGTTTCAAGACAAGTTCGAGATTCTCCTCGTTTGGGATTTTAATGGCTGCTCGCTGTTAAGAATTCATTTCGCCGGCGAGACGGTAACGTTTTCTTAAGCAGACGGCGAGGATCGTAACTATAAAGGGAAAAAGGCGGCGGAAACTCGGGACACAGAGGAGATTTTAATTCCGCCTTAGTTTCGCCGGCCGACAAATAATTGCCGCATAAATTCCGCCGCATGCTCTTGATAAAATGAATTTTAATTCGTCTGCGAGAGAGATAGGGCGTAATCGGCGAGATTCAGGGAATCTGAAATTTCGTTTTCCCCTGTTCTGGATGCGCCCTTCCTAAGTTCAGCCAATTTTCTTTCTAAACTGCTCCCTGTCCCCCTTTTGTGTCATTGAAAAGATCCTTTTCAATTAACAGCTGAATCTGTTTCACCATAATTTTCGCAATTTCATTCTGCGTATATCTGTAATTTTCCACATCATTGACGATAGAATTGTCTATCATTAACATTCGTATCTAAACATATTTCGCGCAGTTAATTAGAGTGAAAGCAACACGGTGAAAATACACGTAATCGTGTTTGTTCTCAGTAGCCAATAAACATTGCTGTTTCAGTTGCACGTTGAGGGGGACGAACATCATCATGCTTTAAAAATTTTATTTTTTCGACTTTTTTATTCAGAGTATCTGAGCAGCATAGAATATTATTTACTCCTGTCGAGTAAATTTTTCAAGTTGCAAATTGTTGAGATAATAACACATTACTACGTAGGTTGTTAAAACGTTTCCCTTTTTTTCTCTCTGACTTTCGTTTTTTACGTCGCGTTAAAAGCTTTCTTGGAACGAATTTTCTAAAACAAATTGTTGCAACGTGTTACGTGATGTAGAGTAGTAGACTAAAAAGAAAGAAAGTTTCTCATAAAGTGAGATTGTACTTCAATGAGAACGGCGAGTAATTTTTAACGTGCGTAGTATCGAATGTTATTCGTCTTAAACTCAATATTCATTCCACGAACCGAGGATGTAAATTTCAGGATGCAACTTCGCGCAGAAAAATACGAGAGAATTATCCAGAAGCTGGAATCGCATGATACGATCATTAAACGCACATTACGGCCGATCCGACTTGATTAACGAAACGTATTCTCCCGGGTTCCTCGTATTTCTATCCCCTCGCCACCAAGAAGCAACCACAGCTGTGTCCTAATCAAACGTTTCTATGGGCGATCAAAGGCGTACCCCCGGACTATCGATTCCCTCGAATCCGATTCATTCGGCATTCCCCAGACGACGGTGCTAACCTCATAAGCAACTCCACTGCGCGAACAAACATTCGACGATCGGCGTTTCCTTGGCCCTTCTGTATCGGCCACTCGCGCGCAAACCACCCCCTCCTCCCCCATCGTCTTTCAGAGTAAGCATCTACCAAGGAAACAGGGACAGTCTGCACGGCATAATAGAAGTTGGTGACTTTCGGCAGAGGTCCTTTGTTCCAGACGTAAGGGGATGTCATCCCTTATTGCTACCACTCTATGGTGGACCAGAGAGGAGCGGGGGTGTGGTGTGGTGTCCAACGTCTGTCCGATTGGACGATCCACCCGCCGCGCCGCTGGTATGCGAGGATTTATTCCACGAAACATTCCGCTTCTGGCTGGTTTTCTGCACCCTCGAATGGGGAATAATTCTTTGGTTCTTTGGTTCTTTGGTTCTTTGGTTCTTTCGTCAGCAGTGTGCCTTCGATGTAGAATTTGTACTTTCTCTTTGCTAAATTTTTCATCAATTTATTATTAACTTTCGTACAACCTTTCCACTTTGCTCATTCTTCTTATTCTGTATTTCTCCTTTTCTTCCTTTCGTTTTTTTTTTTTTTTTTTTGTATCTCGTTATTTTAAATTTTTAGTATACTTGTTATACATTTTTTACAAGCTAATGAGAACTATGCGTGAATATACGCCTAAATATATACTATTTATATAGTTAATAAATAAACCTAACCCAGTTGTGGTTAAATTTGGAACGTTAAGGATTTGAGGTTTGTAATTAACGAGTGTCCATCGTTGTAAAAAAAGGAAGAAAATTATTCGTTCGACACTCGAATAAACAAATAGATAAATATTATATATTATATTATATTTAATATTAATAATTATATTATTAATATTATATATTATATTTTAATATTAATAATTATATTATTAATATTATCTATTATATTATATGTACTATATACATACCATTTTGATGTATCAATTAATTACTCGATATATTTAAAAGCTCGTCTACGTTCCCAATTCCAGCAGAATGTTTAATAAAAGACTTGTGCCGTGTTTTTTCGGCACAACAATCCGAACGACGCCACCCGGAATTCGTTAAAAGCCCCGGAAAG